ATCATCTTGATGGATTGACCCATTATTATAAAATACTTTTCTGTTTCTCTCAGTACTTATCGAAGTCTAACTTGTTTGATATCAGTTAGGTCACATGACTCTTATTTTTGTTGATGTTTACATGGCATATGCTTTTGTAGCATTTTTCAATTTTTGTTGACTTTATAATTACAATGTGTAAAAGCTTTATGTACTAGGCTGGTTTTATGTCAACTCAATCGACACAAGCTAGAGTCATGTGAAAAGAAGGAGCCTCAACTGAGAAAATGCCTCCATAAGATCTGGCTTTTTAAAAATTAATTTTCTTAATGAGTGATTGATGGGTGAGGACCTGACCCATTGTGGGTGGTACCATCCCTGGACTGATGGTTTTGGGTTCTATAAGAAAGCAGGCTGAACAAGCCATGATGAGCAAGCCAGTAAGCAGCACTCCTCCATGGACTTTGCATCAGCTCCTGCCTCCAGGTTCCTGCCCTGTTTGAGTTCCTGTCCTGACTTCCTTCAGTGATCGACTACTGTTGTGGCATAATCTTTTTGTACACTGTGAAGATGTGTTGCTCTCATTGGTTTAATGAAGAGCTGAAAGGCCAACAGCTAGGCAGGAAGGGGTTAGGCAGGACTTACAGACAGGGAGAGAGCGCTGGAATGAAGAAGGGTGGAGTCACCAGGAGATTGGAGAGAAGCAAGATGAGCCTGCCATACTGAGGAAAGGTACCAAGCCATGTGGTAGAACATAAATAAAAAATATAGGTTAATTTAAGATGCAAGAGCTAGTTAGTAGAAAGCCTAAGCTATCAGCTGCGCATTTATAATTAATAAGACGTGTCTGTGTGGTTATTTGGGAGATTGCTAGGTGGAACAGAAAAAACCACCTACAGACTAGGATATGGAAGTGTAAGCCAAATACACCATTTCCTCCTCCTCAGCTTGCTTTTGGTCGTGGCGTTTTATCACAGAAATAGTAACCCTTACCAAGACACCTTATAGAGTTCTCTTTTGTTTTCAAAATGGCTTTAGGCATGAATGAAAGGGAAGAAGCTTTCCTACTGTTCCCCAAATCACAATGGGCAAGTACTACACATTTGGATGAGTGGTTCAAAGTGCAGATATCCTTTGCATCCAGATCCAATTTCACCCCCACCAGTTTTTGTTTTTTGTTTTGCTTGTTTTGAGAAAGGGTCTCTCGAACTATGTAGACCAGGCTGGCCTTGAACTCACAGAGATCCACATACCTCTGCTTCCCAAGTGCTGGGACTAAAGGCATGCGCCACCACACCTGGCATCCCCATTGTTTTTAATGTGATTCTTGAAAATGGGTCATCTTGTGAGAATCCCTGTTTCAGGTGGCCTTTAACTCAGAGAAACTGGTGTTTATACAGAATAGTGTAGTCATTTTACAAATATTTGTCAAATATATCGTAAACCTTGTATGTCCTTATAAGCCCTCCTTATATCATTATATAATTATGACAAATATTTTACGTCCCTTATAAACCTTGTGCAGCACAGTGCCAAGTGTTGCTTATTAGCGTGACACTAGAGCTTACTGTTATTGGTAATTGAGGTTTCAGACCTTTGTCCTGCCTGCAGAGCATGGCAAATGGCATAGTGAGAACCTGGACCTGTGCATACCAACTCCAGGCCCCATGCTTTTTCTCCTCATGCTACTACTACTGCAGTCTTCTGGCTTTTTATAAGGAGTGAGGGAGACCATGCCTTGAAAGATATTACTTTTTAAAATAGACATGTTTGAGGCTGGAGGATGGATCAGTGGTTAGGAGTACTTGCTGCACCCATGTCGCATGACTCACAATGGTGCTCCCTTCTGGCTGCATAGGTGCTTTCACCCGCATGTGCATACGCTCATGCACACACGTGCACACACACAGACACACATGCACACATACAGAGACAAATACGAATATATACTTTAAAAATATATATACACTGTCATCTTTCAATTGGAGTAGTACAGTCATACTGTAATTACTACTACTGATTTTAAATATGCCATCTTGATTTTCCTTATTCATGTTCTCTCATTTTTGTCTCTCTATTTGAACTTTTAAAAAAAACAACCAAGTACTTTTTAATGTTTAATTTAACCTCATCTTATATGTTTTTACTATTTTCTTTTATTGGTGGCCCTAAAAATTACATCTTCACATTACAGTTTACCACAAACTCTTTACCATTTTCCATAGTTTGACTTGCCCTTTGTACTGTTAACATGTTTTGCATTCTTGCCTTAGACTCCACAAAATGTTAGTATTATTATAGATTTAAGCTTTGTTTTAAATATTTACCACATTGTTGGGAATACCAAAGTACTTGCACTCACAGACAACACTAGGAAAACCAGGGAGGATAAACACGTGGGTTGTCTTTTCAAAGGAAAAGCTGTATAACCTGTTTTCTGCTCAGAAGACTGGGAATGGAGGTGGTTAATAGCCTAGGTAACTCCTGTGCTGTCTGTAGGGCCAGGCAATCCAGATGTTCC